CTCATCCATGTTACTCGGCTTGGGCCGAGGCATAGTCTGAGGCCCAAGCCGAGTTTAAAAACATTGGTAAAAACTATAACCACTGAAGCCCGGAGCCCAAACCGGAATTTCTTATCCTTTCTATGGTTTCGCGAGAAAATATTTTATAATCAAACTGACTGAAAAGCAGGTTCATGACAATGAGGGCGCTGGATGGTACTAGCTAGAGCCCCATGACGGATTTGAGGGTGTTAGATTCAGCCAGGTTTATCAAAGAATCAGCAAAGTCTGAAAATAAATAAAATAAGATATTGAAGACTGGCTAGTTTAGGCTTTTTCCCATATGTTCGATTTTGGGCTATCAAGTTGTCGAGCCCGTGTGACTCAGGGGATCCCCAGCATACATTCTCTCAAATCACTATCTGTGTATTTTAATGGATGGTGATGACCCAAGTTACCATGGTATCCATATTTGTTGCATGCTCGGTTACAAGGATATTAGACTAGCATATGGATCTTTCAAGTGCTCTTTGCAATGGTTTAAAAAACGGATCGGTGACCCGGATCGGGCACCCAAAAAACCGATTCTGATCGGCGAATCGGCGATCCGGATCGGGAATCGGGTGAATCGGTCAGAATAAAGTTTAAAAAAAATCCGAAAAAATTATTAAAATTCATTATAAATATTGTTTTTTAGGAATTCAATAAGAAATGAGGGTACTCCATTAAGAATTTTCATGTTTTTGAATGAATATACGAATATTGATATGTTCTTTCCCTGCATGAACCGCCGTTCAGCATTTAATTTACATCACACAAAAGGATAAACATAGAATTATCATGGAATAAGTATATCAACATACATGGTCTACAATAAAGCATAAAATTAGTAACATATGATCTAAAAATAAAATGATAGACGACGTTATTGTTCTTCTTGGTCACGTTGGTGCCATTGATTGAATTCGTTTAACAATTCATTGATTCGATCTAAAAACAAATCATCGATATTAGCAGGCATCTGACTGTTCTCAAATCCATGAGTGTTAGTGTTTTGTTGTGTTCCCAATCTAAAATCCCCGAAGCTTGTCCATCCTTCATGCTCACCTGCACTGTCGTGCTCATCCCTACAATGTTGTTGTTGGGACTCGATATGTGAATAATATGGCTGGGATAGGGTAGCTTCAGAATCATCATCTCTCTCATTTTCTCTTTGAATAATATGGAATTAAAAAAAAAAAAAACAAATTTTCAAAAAAATCGATCATGGATTAAAAAAAAAATCACAAATTTTCAAAAAATTCTATCATGGATTACAAAAAAAATTCGATCATGGAATTAAAAAAAAAAAACAAATTTTCAAAAAATTCTATCATGGATTACAAAAAAAATTCGATCATGGATTAAAAAAAAAAATAACAAATTTTCAAAAAATTCTATCATGGATTACAAAAAAAATTCGATCATGGATTAAAAAAAAAAAATCACAAATTTTCAAAAAATTCAATTATGGATTACAAAAAATTCAATCATAGATTACGAAAAATTCGATCATGGATTACATAAAATTCGATCATGGATTACATAAAATTCGATCATGGATTACAAAAAAAAAAAACATAAAAAAACATAAAATTCCATCGTGGATTACAAAAAAAGAAAAAAACAATTCGATCGTGGATTACAAAAAATTCAATCATGGATTACAA